AGTTTTACCCATGCCGGAAATTTCATCTGGCATGGGGGGTTCCAGATGAGTCGCGTGCTGTACAATGGCACAATAAAGATGACGTCATTTCACCGTTATGAATGATTTTGTAATTTATACGCTGTTGAATGAAAGTAGTTACGGTTGTAATGATATAAATTTTCATTGAAAATAAAGATAAAGAATTTAAAATATAATGGAATATGGTAGAATATGCAAGAAAAAATATCTGACATATGTTTGCGGTTCGGATCGGAATATCCGTCCCTCGGTCACCCGCCCATGGGCGGTAAACGAGGCAAAAGGGCGGGTCACCTCGGGATGGATATTCCGATCCGAACCGCAAAATATGACAGATATTATTATTCCTGCATGTGTCATTCGTTCTTATGGAAATATAAATATATATTTCTTTCATACTTGTATTTGGAAGTTATAATTCTTTTTCAAAATTCAAATATACAGGCAGCAGATAGCTTAATAATACACTTTATGTCATGTCTTTTTTATGTTGCTTTTTTTTAAATAAGTGGTCAATTCTGATTACCTACACACTTCACACATCACTTGGCAAAAAGAATCTGTTTTGGTCCCAATGAAAAGTTTATATAATTTTCAAAGAAATAAGATGCGACAATCAACAAAGGAGATATAAGACAATAATTGAATCCCCAGCAATCAATATTTATAATATCATATCAACAGATAGGCAATAATCAAATTGTCTAACAGGCATGAACTATACCAAATTACATGTAACTCATACACACATCTTCAATCTTAGCCAATGATAATTACAAAAGCTTAACCAATCTTGACATGTTTTTTTTAGCTTTTTGTACAACAACATATGTTTGAATGGTCCGGACATTTTTTATTTGGTATTTAAGTTATATACCGTTTATGTATCAAAATGTTTAAAAAGCAGGAATCTGAATATGATATTACAGACAAATATTACTTAAACAATGTGAAAACTTGGACCTGATGAGTGGAGAATGAATTTTGATTGGTGCTTGACCATCAGTGCTTGACATCACCACACAAGCACTGGAAGCTCCAATAATTTTGTGTCATATTAAAAGACAAAATGATATAATTCAAAGAAAATCAGAAAAATGAAAAATCACATTGTGTTAATAACTACAGGTAACAATATATGCATTTTCTAATCATCAAATGATATTGAAGAACCAGCTAAAAGGTAAACTAACTTGGCTTTTCAAAACATACAATGTATGAAAAGCCAAAAACCTACTAAATTTTCCACAAGTACAGACTACCAATTACTATAAATATTTAGGGATATTCTCTGTGTAATGAAGCATTAAGACTTCTCTGATAATGCTAGTAAAAAAGTTAGCCTAGAGATATTTATGAGACTTCAGATGATAATATGGTGTCAATGACAAAACAGCAAATATCTTGCTTTCACCGATTTCTGAAGCAATTCGAGAAATTTTAAGATGAATTTCGGAATCCAGAATAAAATATTTATATGCAAATTTTCTGTGTCTGACAGACAATTTCAAGCTCTGCTTGTCTTCGTCAAACAGCATGCTTAAAATATATTAAATAAAAAAAGCGGATTTAAAATTCTTTGAAAAATCTTGCAAGAGACAGCTATTTAAGAGACCTGAAAGAATATCAAGCACAGAGTACTTTAAAAAAATAAAGAGTACATAATAAATGTACATAACAAACTGTACAATATCGCCCCTTTATAGGTTTTAAAAATGATTGTTTTAGAAAGAAAACAATTTTCCATTTACTAGCAGCCAGGAAAATCAACCAATAAACAAAGGTTTTGTAAATCTTGAAAGGATTTAAAGACTATAGCATGTTGGATTGCATGCAAAATGACATTTTCTACTGTACAAGAATAACTGCAATTGGTGTTGATATGTTTGATAAAATAGATTCAGAAATGTGAAACTTGTTATTAATGAGGAAATATTGTGCAACATATTTTTGAATTGGGATGGGCTGTAAACATTGTCTGCAAAATAATAAAGTAGTACTAGATGTTTAAACTCCCTATATTGACAAATAATTCAAAGCTCTGAAAAATTTAATATGTGCTTACATGAATTTTTCTTAATGCATTTTAAGTCACACACTGCTGTTAAAGACATAAAGCCTTTTCCGGAGCTTTACTGTTGAAAGGTTGAAACAATGGGTGCTATCTTTGCATTATTTAAGGCACATGCTGTGTCAGTGTAAAATCAGTGTATCAGTGTATGGTGCCTAGACTTGACAAGAGGATTACTGTAACTTCACTATCCGCAGATCTTTGCAGAAAATCCTCTTAAACAAGGCTAGCATTATAATCTTTAAGTATCTTAGAGACATATACACATGCATACCAGCCTTAGACAAGACAGAATTTGTACCTATAAGGGAAATAAAAACATGAGACTTTAATTACAGAAGATTTCTCATGAGGTGTATATGCCTTATTTGTAAGAGAGAAAAAAATCTCGGAGTCATTTACAAGGTCTTAAACTCATTTAATCAGTCCTCGGGGGTTTCACAGTTCTACAGAAAAACAGGCAAAGTATCACAGAATATTACGCTTATCCGTGACATTAAATACAAAACAGTGTAAGAAAAAGATACCATTATCATACTTATTAATTCTTATCAAATGTCTTAAATGGACACATCAATCTTTCAAACTGAACAAAACCATTTGTCATTTTTGGGGGAAATTTCATTTTGATAACGATATGTATTTACAGAGCAGTACAGAACATAATCAGACCACACGGATGTGCCAGCTGATTTTCAGCTACAATGCTGGCATTAGTAGAATGAAACTAAGAGATATTTCCTCATATCACATCAGTACTATAGTCTTGTTCCAAGAACTTGTCTAACAAGAGCTGTCACTTAACTATTTTCTGCAGTGCTTGGTAGTAAAAACAATAGCCTGCATTTTCTAAGTTTAAATAGTGCCATAATTTTTTTTAAATCCATGCAAGTGTGCCTTGGAAAGTGACCTCCTATTATGCTCTCAAATAAGTTTGTGAAGTTTCAACCCATTCCCTTATGTAGTTTTCGAGATACCAACTACACTCAAAAACTTAACCAAAATGTGACAGTGACACCAACACCAACACCTGTGTAAGTACTGTGTAAGTTAAAATGTTTAAACTGATCTAAATATTCAGTGAAATATTTTAAGTTGTGTAAATATTAAATATTGAACAATCATAATTGCATTTCTGTGACTTCTATTGTCTATAATGTTTTCCATACTATACTATATTTTCTATTTTAACTCTGACCTGATTGTTACAGGGAAAAAATGGTCTGTTTATCCAATCAACTAGTTACAATTTATGTATATTTCTCATACAAAAATATCTGGTCATTTTGTGACGGAAATACAAAATCAGATGAAATCTACGCTATCTGTCTATCAATATTAAATATACATATATACACAGTTCTGTCAATTTTGAGTTGTAGCTACAGATTGCTCTGGAAGGGAAAAGTGTGATGGATCATTTTACACATCTTAACCTTGTGGCTTCATTCTGAAGTATGATGGATTATTTGCCCATGGACTGATTATTTACTCGCTTCATTACGTTCATCGGGAAGCCTATATTATTGACAAATGTCTCTCACAAATCTTGTTTCTTCCTGATGATGATATATTACCTAGTGCCAAAATCTTGTTACCCTTAAGAAATTATTGGGTTTGAATTGCTTACAATACTTTTTTTTTTGGAATCTGCTTAATTGTCATTAATTTTGTTATTCATCATGCTGGACATGCAAAAAATCTGTAAAACATAGACAAAACATTTAGATCAAGTGATTCATTTCTTGGCTAGTCTTGGCTAAATTAATGTCATATAACATGTTTACAAGGTTATAAAAAAGCTAGAACTCACATCTCAGATATAAGAATGTCTGGAAAAAGTCGCAAAATGTTCATTTGCATAAATTTCATTAATAAAACTATTGATGTCACATCATTAAGTTGACCATGCACTGACAAAGTCAAATCTTCTCGGCCTGTGAGAAAAGGTATCCCAATTGTGTGTTATAAGAATAGTTGGATATATTCCATGTACAGATTTCTGTTGATTTCGAAAAAAACAATACTTAGGGGCAAATCAGTCTGTAAAACTTACATGTTTTCTAGCTCAATATTCAACCACATAAAAGGTTTCATTTATTAACTATTGAGGTTATATTAGATTAAAATAAAAATAAAATTTTGAAAATGTTCCTTTACGATAAATAATGCATTTTGAGCACTTTTTTATGTTATATTTATTTTCTCTATTTGTGTATCTACCAAAAAAATATTTCACAGGCTTACCAACAAAATATTTCTTTTTTTTTTTTATTATCATCAAAAGTGATGTTATGCCCATCCATGAGTTTATAGTGAATGAACAGGACTGGTGAAAGTTGAAATAAGTTTGTATTTTGCCATAATTCCTTTCAACTTTACAAATAACTTCGCATGAACTGATTATAAACTCTCATGGCTCAAGGAAATTTCTATAAACATCAATTTAAGCATTTTTTTTTTGTGGATTGTATAATATGTGCATGTACTTATTTCAGTTATTCTATTGCATTTTATTACATAAGAATAGCTATGAATAATTTTATAACATTAATAAAGTTCTGAGTATCTGTTGAAGCATATTTTCTTGTGGATGATATTTTATGACCATGTCACGTTCCCTTTCCTATAAATATTCTCAGATTATGTAAAACTCAAGAATCCCCTCAAAATGTAATTCATAAAATAACAATTAATTTTCACGGTTTTGAATGTATTGTTCACACATTTTAACTTTTGCTTCTGACAGAACTCTCAGAGCTTTGATCCTGCTATACTAGACAATCTTATGCCAAGTATTTCATGGACATACTCAATTGATCAAGGGAATAAACTGCAGTTACCACTTCAAGAGAAAAAGTGAGAGTTGTCTTCCTTTGTGACAATTCTTTCCCCTATAACATCTTACCTTCTAACAAGTAGACTGGATTTCTGGCATTCACTAACAGTCAAAGGCTGTCGATCAACAGGACACTGCTTCTGTAACTTGAGGTAGCTTTTTAAGCACCGTGAACAATACGTGTGTCCACATCGCGTATCAATAGGATTCACTAATGGTTGCAGACATATATGACACATCAGATCCTCGTCCACGGCCTGGTGGTAGTCGTACAGATGTGTACCATTCTCCTCGTGTAGTTGTCCACATTTTGAACATATCACTGAATCTCTGTACTTGTAATGAGTAGAAGTGGAGAAAGTCTCAGAATTGGGCGGAGTGTAAGGTGGTGGGGCAGGGTCAAATGGAATGTTCTCATAGTTCATCACTTCCTGTCGGTTACCTTTGAGATAATATCCAGAATGCATTGAAACCTGACTGTTCTGTACTTATCTGCAAATAATAATGTTTTGTCTTTAATTACAATATGAAGAGTTGAAATGTGAAACATTTTTAATATGACATTGGCAGGTCCTTGCTGTTGGATCATGATATGCAATATTCACCATCCAAACAGTACTTACTATGAAATTTACCCTAAAAATGACAAATTGTCTTGTCCCAATTGAAAGATGAACAAGCCCATTTAAGATATTTAGAATGGTAAAGGTTTTAATGTAACTGATGCTCTACAATAAAGCAACTGCTGCAATTTTACAATGTTCGAAATTAGCAGTACTCTAATGGCCGATGACTCGCAAATTTCTCTTCGGGCTCTTAACCAAAATTTCGCATTAACAAGCCTATAATTTTATAATACAAGGCTTCTATATATTTAGAGGCAATATAAGCAACTGTTTTGAACAAATAAATCGTGCTGCTGAAACATTTTTCAGGCTAGTGAATATTCCAATCTGGTAGTCTCACCAATCTGGTCAAGGCAAATCCGAATTTCATACACTGGTTTTATACATTACATAACTATATGACGCTACAATGATTATGAACAAAAAAATTATGATTTTGTTTGCATGTTTCAGTTATTACAATCAGTTATTACTAGACAATTTTGTTAATGCCTCAAAAAACATGACATTCAATCTAATTCAATTGAAGTAGTTGAATTATAGGGTAATCACACCATACGAGGCCATTGATTTCATCACATTCATCTCGACCATATGCTGCCTTTAGGGAATGAAAAAAACACTAAGGATACAATAAGGATATCATGACAGCAAATTCTGCTTACGATCAATTGTTGTTGTATACTGCCACTTTTTTTCCCCCCATCCATTTTGTTTGCATCCACAAATTTGAATCAACAAAAAAATTGAGTACATCTACATCATACGAAAATTAATTATTCCGTATTTCTAGAGATAACATAGCTGTTTTTATCTGGTCATAACACTTTGTAACCAATTTTTTATGCTTCTTTTTTTTAAACTGAAAAATTTGGAGGAAGAAATTAATTATCACTACATCCCTACCACTTCTTTATTTATATATTATAAATTAAACAAGTACCCTGATAATTGCTGCACTTAATGCACATCCATGCAGTCTGACCAGCTCTTTAAATACAGGTTTGTTTGTTTTTACATCACACCAACACAGTATAGTTCATATGGCAACCTTGCAGCTTTACTGGTGGAGGAAGACCTCAGATGCCCTTCCGTGCATTATTTCAGGCACAAACGGGCACCTGAGTAGAACCACCAACATTTTCGTAAGCTAGCTGGATAGCCTCTTCACATGAAAGAATCCAAAGTCCCAGTTGGGATTCAAACCCACAGGGGCAAGTGGTTTGAAGTCAACAACCATAACCATTCGGCCACGGAAGCCCCTTAAATACATGTGGTAGCTTAATTTATGTATTGAAATAATATCAAAATTTATTTAACCTTTAAATGGACTATTCCAAATACAAAGCAGGGCAAATCTATTACACAATTTCAGCAGGTTAATTGTTAAATAACCAGAATGAAAATTATACTTTCGTGCATTTATCATTCATTACAATGGATAGTGCATAATACATGGACATAATATGCTCATCATAGCATAGCCTAAAGCTTTGTCAGTCTTTTATGTTACATTGATTTTTATCAGTTTTAATACATTTCCTGTTTTAAATCTTTTAAAGAATCTCGTTATCAAACATTCCGCAACACCTCATGTACGATCCACGTTATAAAAGTGACACTTAACTTTCATTGATAGCCATCATTATCAGATTATGTCTGTCAAAAATTACCGTATAACAATTTGTCAAATATCACTCAAGGTCGACAAGGCCACAAGGTAAATACAGCAGAACAAGGGCAGGAAATTATTAAGGACCACCCTTTGTAAACAAGTAATTATAATTTCAGATCTTTAAGGGTCAATGGATCACCTATATTACTACATGTTTTAAACAGGATGTTGACTTTTTTTGCTCAAAAGCCAGATTAGAGCGGTTTAAAGTAAGGCAGTATCATAAATAGATAGGTGAAAATATTGAAAATAAGTAAATGATAAAATAAACCACAGACTTAAAGATTTCAATATTAAATGCTGAATATGCTTTTATAAAATTATCATAAAATAATCTCCCCTTGGACACTAATTTTGCTTTTGATGATCAAGGGGTGATTATTTTATGACAATTTGACCATTACTCAGGCATGGCAAATATGCCGTTCGCCTGTATTTCAGACTCCTTACACAATATTTATAATGTAGCCTTCACAACATGGTCACCATGTATCATCTTAACAATGGTTGATTCATATCTAAAATACAAATACCACAACTCTCTTGCATTGTTAAGTAATTGATTCATAAATTGTATAAGTCATTCTTTATGAAGTTATTCAGTGCAGACTGCGGCAAATGTTTCAGACTGATTGATTTTCCCAGTGAGAATATTGACAAGTTATGAGCAAAAATCAATTAGAGATAATTAAATCAACCCTAATGAAGTGCTTGAATTAACCTAGTTTCACACTGTGACAAAGAATTCAAACATCTACCAGCAAAATTTACATAAAATTCAGATGAAAATAGATTACAACATGGAAACATCCATTTTTTGTGATCTGAATATTTATGAAATATTTAACACTATAAAATCACACTTTTTATATTAACATAATTGTATTAAAAAAAGCTTCATTCCAGGAACATTTCTGCTTAGTTTTAACAAAATTGGTCCAGCAGTTTAGGAGATGTTGCTCAAAATAAAAAATTGTGGAGGTTACTATGTATGGGCAAAGGAAACATGCCTGGTCACAACAGCTCACCTTGATCATGCTGCACTCAAGGTGAGCTAAAACCAAACTTCACAATTTAAACAATAAGCAAGGATTATCCCAAGGAGTCTGACAAGGGCCTACAGTGGTGCCTGTTTGACTGCATGTTCAAATCTAGCTGTAAAGCTATATAAGTATCATAATAAATTTAAAAGCTATATGCCTCCAGATGAGCCAAAATATTTCAAGAAAATCAAACTTTAGAAAATAAAACTTTGATTTTAAGGAAAATAAACAGATTCCACACTGAAGTAATAATTTACGTGTTCTGTGCAGTTATTGACTGATTTTGCTGTATTTCTCACCATATTTCTACCATGTGACCAACATAGTAAGGGATATTTTTGCCTCTTTTTGGTAATTTACGTGGATATTAAATGCCGTTTGTGTGTAAATTTTTTCTTTGTTCACTTCACAATGTTTTACTTTAATATACATTTTAAATTATTTTTATATGAAATTTAGCATGCTGCTTTAATAATATTGGACAATAGACAAAATTACAACAGCAATGGCTAAACACATACTTGCTGTATTAAAACTGGCAATGGAGTAGAACAACCAACCTTCCACTGCTCATATAATAACCATATTCAAATTAGTAGGACTCTCACCAACTCTGGTGCTGGGCAAGTAATTTAAATTAATAAACCACATATGACCACAGACACTCATCAAATTAATAGCATAAATTCTTTTGGCTAATTTCTTATTGATATCACTTCTAAAGTTACCTTGATCAGCAAGTTTCTTTCTCTCACACCAAGTTTTATCAGGTCTTTACAAATTTCTCACAAACATCACCATAATTGTCATCAAAATTCACCTGCAAAAAAAAGTTTTAAAATATCAAAACTTAATAAACTTAATCATTATTGTCAGTTTCTTTATAAACATTATTATTTGAAATTGATAACCAAAACAATGTTAACTCTGTAAGTCAACTGATTGATTGATTCATGTGGAGAATTTTTAAAATTTCTGTACAGATTTAATAGCTAGTACTGATTCCCGTATCCCTTAAAAGTACTGGCAATTGATCATTTGGTTATATATCTGAAACTTTGATACCATAACAATCATAAAGAGCTGTGGTAATAACCTGGTACGACCAATTTTGGGTACGAACTTGAGGGCCGATGTCTGAGATTGAGGGGCACGCAGAGAGTCAGATCCTGTTACCTTCTCGAAACAACGAAACCTTTTATTAACTTTGTTCAACCCGATAATTATCTGGTGCCATCTTGCTGACTTCCAGCAGTTGTAAGCATAGATTTGACTGTAGAAGATTGATGAAGCCACTCTGTTTATATTAGACTCTGTAAGTCTTCTTCAGTCAAATCTATGCTCACAGCAAGATGGCACCAGGTAATTATCGGGTTGAACAAATATAGGTTTCGTTAATTCAAGGAGACTCTCTGACACCGTCCAACACTTTAAACAAAAAAGTTAACCAACAGATCACTTGTATATTTGTTGTCACTATCTTAAAATCCAAAAATATATGATCAAAGGCCTTCTATATGTGAAGTTTAAGTGATGACTAAACTATATAAAAACTTAACTTTCAAATTCCACCAAATCCAATTCAATACAACTCTCTTTTTTTGTAAAAAAAACTTCAATTAAAATACACTTAATTAATTCAATGTTAATATTATGCAATTTGTTTAAAGCTTTCATTTATTTTTATTTTTTCAATTAAAATGGTCTCAAATTAGATTTGTCAAGATAAATTAACAAATCACAGAAAATTAAATCAAGCTACAAAAAGGACACAATTCTATCATCCTTAAAGCAAATACTAGCTGGTATATTAAAGAAACAGTTACACATTACATAGTAAATCAGTACAAAATACATTATGGTATATTTTATGCACTAACACATTCTTTGATGTGTCAGCATTGTATATCATTATAAGATCATTCAAAAATATTTGATTACCTGTAAAATTGTATCAAAAACTATGAAAATATTTCCTGTTCAAGGTATTTTACCCTGTGTAAATAGGGAATATAAAACTATCATAAATATTGAAGATTGTAGAAAAGGTTAAATTACAAAGATGTGAGTCATTTACTTTATATTGGCAGATTTATCCATTAATGTATCAATATCTATGTATGTATGTATTTCAATAACGTCTATCGAAGCAAATTGTTATAATTGTTAAAAGTTGTAAAATGACGATGAAGAAATTTAAATCAAAGTCCTTCAAAATTGAAATTTCACTTTCCTTTATCAAAAACTACTTCCAGAAAATATTATATGTTAACCCCAGACACTGTGGCCCGTCATGTGGGAGAAATAAGCGGTCATAAATATCAGGTTGATATGATGACTTTCTTTGGGACCATAGGGCTGGCAAAATCTGATTTTGACTTACTTGTCCGTTTTTATCTAAAGCATTTCTTAACTTGTCAGTATGATATTAACAGAGTCAATTCTTGAAAATTTCCACTTGTCCGTACAGGCTGTGGGACAACCTGGGCAATACAGACAATTGATTTTGCTGACCCTGGACCAACATAGCTGAGATATGTCTGAGTTACAGCGCATGTCCAGCACAAGCTTTTTATTTGGTTTGACTTTACATCACAGCAACCCATAGAGGTCATATAGTGACTTTCCAGCTTTACTGGCAGAGAAAGACCTCAAGTGCTCCTTCTTGCATTATTTATGGCACAAATGGGCACGGAGTAGAAACACTGACGTTCCATAAGCTCACTGGATAGCTTTTTCACATGAAAGAATCCAATGTGCCTGGTGGTATTTGTACCCAAAGCGGTGAGGGGTAATGGTTTGAAGTCAATGACCTTAACCACTTCAAGGCCATGGACATCCCCAGTAGATATAATTATATCAAAATACTTTTTGATACCACTTAATTTTCAACAACCTGTTGAAAATGACATTCTTTAGATATGAAATTATTGTCATATTGTGTGTTTTTAAGAATCAGGTATGTATTTTAATGCACTATTTCAATCAAGTTGGTCGCACTATAATCTATCAGAGCCATGTTAAGCATCAAATTAACCCTTAAGTTTTTTTGTTGTTTTTTTAACTCATCTCAGTGGTCAAGAATTTTTCATATTTAATAGTAAGCATTTTCAAAATAAAATTGGTCAAAATTAAGCGGCACGTCCATACAAACAATTAATTTGGTAAATGCTTACTAATGAACACTACAAAATTTAGTGTTTGGAATTATTTTTATAGTAACAGTCAATATCCTGGACTATATAATAGCCAAATGTGTTACAATTCATTTGAAATACTACAGTCCGGTTGCACATAAAATAATTTTTTACACTATTATTAAGCCATTTCAGTGTTTGAAATTACTTTTTGTCCAATAGGATTGCGATATTTTAAATGAATCATAACACATGTACTTTCATGAATCAACTTCCTATTAAGTCTAATAAATCAACTATTTATTTAACAAGAACTGTCGGAGGACAGTAACGCTCGACTATTCGAAAATTTGTCACTAGGGTGTTTCATTGAGTATAATAATGCTTACCTATATGAATACATAAAATTGTCCGAAAAGGTACAAACCCTTCAAGTTTCAATACATTCCCTTCAGTAGTTATGGAGATACAAGCTTACACACAAAAACTTAACCAAGAATTTCTAAGTCGAAAAAGGGGCATTATTATGTAAAAAAGCAAATCAGAGTTATGGGACTTGTGCCAATCATCTAAGATAATCACAGAAAACAAGTGTGTGAAGTTTCAATCCATTCCTTCAGTAGTTATGGAGATACCAGCTTACACGCAAAAACTTAACCAAGAATTTCTAAGTCGAAAAAGGGCATTATTATGTAAAAAAGCAATCAAGTTATGGACTTGTGCCAATCATCTTAGATAATCACAGAGAACAAGTGTGTGAAGTTTCAATCCATTCCCTTCAGTAGTTATGGAGATACCAGCTTACACGCAAAAAACTTAACCAAGAATTTCTAAGTCGAAAAAAGGGGCATAATTATGTAAAAAAGCAAATCAGAGTTATGGGACTTGTACCAATCATCTTAGATAATCACAGAGAACAAGTGTGTGAAGTTTCAATCCATTCCCATCAGTAGTTATGGAGATACCAGCTTACACGCAAAAAACTTAACCAAGAATTTCAAAGTCGAAAAGGGGCATAATTATGTAAAAAAGCAATTCAGAGTTATGGGACTTGTACAATCATCTTAGATAATCACAGAGAACAAGTGTGTGAAGTTTCAATCCATTCGCTTCAGTAGTTATGGAGATACCAGCTTACATACAAAAAACTTAACCAAGAATTTCTAAGTCGAAAAAGGGGCATAATTATGAAAAAAAGCAAATCAGAGTTATGGGACTTGTGCCAATCATCTTAGATAATCACAGAGAACAAGTGTGTGAAGTTTCATCCATTCCCTTCAGTAGTTATGGAGATACCAGCTTACATACAAAAACTTAACCAAGAATTTCTAAGTTGAAAAAGGGGCATAATTATGAAAAAAAGCAAATCAGAGTTATGGGACTTGTGCCAATCATCTTAGATAATCACAGAGAACAAGTGTGTGAAGTTTCAATCCATTCCCTTCAGTAGTTATGGAGATACCAGCTTACATACAAAAACTTAACCACAGGGACGCCGACGCCGACGCCGACGCCGACAAATGGGTGACTGCATTAGCTCGATTATTCTGCGAATAGTCGAGCTAAAAATTAAAACACTTAATTGGACTAAATTTACAGTAAAAATATACATGACTTAAAAGTTACTTTAATACTTACATACAATACTTATATAAACTTTATCTTCAGTATCTTTACAGTAAATGGTATGCAAATTATATTAATCCACTGATATAATGAACTCCCCTTTTTCCTTAATTGAGGTTTTAAGAGTTAAACAAAACTGTCTAGACACACTTTCTTATCTTTATTATGCTGTTTTAATCTAAAAACTTAATATGATAACAGTCAAAAACTTTCACTTTTAACACAATATTCCTGTATAAATCATAAATTCAAAATATCACACGTGTCGATCTTTATTATAATTGTTTCAAATTAAATCCAATTTATAATAACACTATCTTTCCACTTTTTTGAACAGTTTAATAATTTATAAAACTGTATGGTAAGTTTAAACATGTGTATGATATAAACACCAATGTCTTAAATCACATTCATAAGTTACACTACTAGTAAGTCAGAGTGATAGTACATTGAAGACAGACAACTACGAGGGATTCCCACGATAAGATTAAATCATAAAATTTTATAAAGTTGAAAAATGTCGGCTATTGATAACAAACATTGAAAACACTAGGCTGCTAATAATGAGGTGAAATTCTGCTTCTAGTGAGCCTATCATAATAAGCTGAATAACTCTTCCGGTCGTATATTATATTATCTCGTCTGCTACAGAGTGCTTGCTTAAAAATTAGATCAGGAACAGCATATATTGCTATTTGTTCCTGTTTTAGCATATCTTACGTCAATTAATCTAGACTATCATGATACATTAGAAGAGCTGATGATTATTGTATCAAATTTTGACATACTTGAATAATTTCCCCCTAATTATACCTAAACTAAACAAGTACCGAAAAATAAATCTGGAAAATTATGTTTGTTTAAATGTTCAAGATCTTCAAATCATATGAATTAAGATATCTATACACTGATAGTGTTGAACTGTTATAAATTAATCTATATTGTGGATAAGTGCTTTGCAGTTAAAATAGTTTAAACTGTAGATAAGACTTTTATCAGTTTTCATCTATGTCTGCTATAGCCATAAATTTAAGTCAGTTAACCTTTTACCTTATCCTTTGTCACCAGTATAGGACCAGGCCAGCCCAATGTGATGTCCATGCAGTCTGACCAAGCTCTATACTGTTGGCTAATTAATATCAAATTTTCATCTTGCATTCCTAATGTCAATAATGGACAGTTCCAAAATAAAAGTTGGTCAAGTCCATTTAAGAAATTCTGCAGGTTCAGCTTAAAGGGTTTTTCATAATGATCACTCAAAGAGTATACCATTAAGGCAAATACAAGTAATTAATTGAGGTTGTCAATCTAGAAAATGCTTACATTTGTGAAATTTAATATACCTTGAACTGGAATTCAGTACATTGACTATCTAAGGGATATCAATAAATACAGAAATTGAACAAACAATAAATAGTATAACATCAAGTCATGTTGTACAGATGTTTTCCCTAGTCTGTAATACACAGAAAAGTTATTATTTTCTACTCATTTAAGGTTCAAAGAGTGAAATTCATGAATTCACTTGTTTAATGGATCAAAGATAGGTGGTAAACAATACCTAGGAGGTTAAACAATACCTAGTGTTAAGACTGGACAAAAGAGTGAAATCTGGCTTTAAAAGCATCTAAAATATCTTTTGTAAACATAAACAATAGCAGAAACTTTCATGCCTCAGTTATATTAGTAGAAAAAAACAAAACAAGAAAATCCAAACAAAAAAAATCAAGTCTATACAAAGATGCTTATCTCATTTAAGTACAGAAAGAAAAAAGAAATTTCCCTTTTATATGTGTTTATCGCAAATGTATCAAATTTCTCTTATTATACTACACATAGTGGAAAATGGTAATTATCAGTCATAGCTAAATTTAGAGAACAAAAAATATATATGTAATGCTACAAAAATGTATACCACGCATTAAACTGCTTTGATTATCTGATTCACAGAAATCCTGAATAATTATTTTTGTGTCAATTAAAATGTTGGTTTGAATGTACAAATAAGTAAAAAAAAACTTTTGAAGTGATGGATACCACAAAAAGCATGCAATTTGTTGACTTCAGTTAAAATAGAGATAAATTCGAGTAGATATAGAATAATGGTAAACTGAATATACTTATATCTGAAAGTTACATTCAAACTACAACTAAGAAAGTAGTTCAAACTACATGTTTTGTACATATAGCAGTGTCTATTCTAGAAATTCAAAAATAGGGGTGAATTTTCCACCTCACTTAAAAAAATAGGGGTGATTTGTTGGCAAAAATGGTGTTTTTATCAAGCCAGCTATATGGCTCTCTGTGAGTGGCCTCATTTTTTGGTGAGTGTGTTATAGTACTATTGAAACATACAGCATCCCACGAGAATGATGCTTGATTGGTGCCACTTTACAAAAGAAATGTTTATTTTTTATTTTTCTATGACATGATTTGTCTGCTGCACTGTTCATAGAAACAAATATATTTATTTACAGCTACAAAAGTCAAGATCCATCAGTCTACAAAATTTAAATATTGCTTTTGTTTTCATTTTCATTGAAATACGCAGTGGTTTGTAAATATGTAGTGGTTGGTAAAGAATCATAGAAAAAAATCCCTGATATTTGGGTATTAACCAAGTATAAACAGGGGAACCAACTGAAGGTTTGACTAATTTACATAAATTTCAAGGAGTAAAAATATACCTGCCAAAACATTTCATGTTTAAATCGTTTATAAAAAAAATCAATCAGTTCCAGGTATATACTCACTGACGTCACTGTCCTAAAAAAATATCTAGATCTGAAAGACCACACTTTTGTTTGTTTTATTATATGTTTACAAAACAATAATATGCATGTTTTCTGTATCTTAACATAACAAATTTTTATTATTACTATTTTCCACCATGTAACTGCCTGTTTTAATGAGCGACACAATTGTAACTGGCAATAAATTCAGTTTATTTGTTTGCACCACTGGCAGTAACATAACAGATATAAAAACAGTGTCAATGGTTATTATTTCTTTGACCAAACATCTTAAACATAATAAAAAAAAAAATGTTATAATTTTTCCAAATATATACCACAGATATGCAAACATTCCTTAAAGAAAAACTTTTTTTCAAACTAAATAAATAAAGAAATATCTAACGACATAAAGTTGAATGAATTGAAAAGAGAAGGAAATATTATTACTTGAATTTTGGTGAGTCATAATGTGGCGAACCTTCAGTGGACTGTATTCTTATCATTGGTCAGATATGTCATGAAATTGCCATGAGAAAATAGTAAAAGTAAAGTGTTGTTTTTTTTTCAAATTCTTATTCAAAAACAGTTTATCTCCAAAAAAGTTAAACCTTTGAAAGGACATAGACATGTTTGCATACTAAAATAAGGTATATAGTCTTTGAAAAGAAAGAGAATTTATTACTGCTTTCAGATTTAGGTAACAATGCTCCCAAACATGCAACCTATCTAAATGACCATTTCACATAAAAATTCACAATTATAAGCAACGTCCCACTAAAATTTCCAATCCAATCACATACCCAAAACACAGAAAAACCAGGGCATTTTTTGTCAGAATTGTGAAGGGGCCTGGGCCTGTTCATTTTGTGAAAAATAGCGCGATATATTTCATAAAATTGTGAAAAATGACAAATAATTTGGCATTTTGAGCTATGAACGCTTGATTATAATTTCTGACCTGTTTAAAATCTGCTTCAAGTTGGTACTTTAACCCAGTTAACATGCCAAAAAAACATTTGACTGAATTAAAACTATTTCTGTGTTATTGCAATTGGCATAAATCAAGTTTTACCCAAAGGTTAACAATGTATTTTGAGACAAAGTCCCAATATTTTGTGAAATCTCTTTGGAAATTGTGAATCTGCTTTGTAAAAAAAGTGCAATTTTGAATTGTGAAGGGACCTTATATCGGCCCCTGTTACAGAAGAAAAAAAAACAACCTGAAAACTGTCAATGAATTAAGACCACTCAGTTTTCAAAACAGAGATACATAAAAAACTTATATAAACATGCTTTTTATTTTTAATGCTTATTCATACATGCTATAATGTCTCGGACATCCAGGACTGTCCCGGAAATCACTTGATACGTCTGCTGATTTGTTCTTAAAAGTGAGTGGCCCTTAACATAGTTTTTTTTGTATTTATTTACTTGTATAACCATTATCTCAACTTATTGGCTTTTAATTACAAGTAAATAAATAAAATGTTGTCTATTCGGAAACCAATTTTAATCAAACAAACTATCACAGTTAAATCTGCCAAGTACACTTACAGATCTGACATTTTTCCGAACTTATACTAGGCTTTTTAAACACATCAACATCAGTGCTTTCTTTTCATGTGTTGCATCAAGACCTGTTCTGTTCCTATGCCTTTATTTTATTTTTGTTGGAGGATTTTTTAGATTTATTTTTCTACTTTGATGTTAGGAGTCATTCTGATGTACTTGCAAAAAATAGAACACTAAAAACTCACTGATTGGATGATCTAGACTAGTGAAATCAACCAATTGCATGTAACATAGACTAGACTAGTTAAAACAACCAATTGCATGTAACATAGACTAGACTAGTTAAAACAACCAATTGCATGTAACATAGACTAGCCAGAGAGGAACAAAACCTTGCAATTTTTTTGTGCTTATTTTTGGTTATGAATCAAATTGAAATTATTACAGGGAAGTCAAAGGCCTGGACTGCGCAATGGCCTGCCAGGCTATAGACCACACATGTATATTTAACCTTTTATCCCATGAGCATATTGTGAAAAATGGCCGTTTTCATTGAAAAGCCTCCTGTTACAAGTTCAAACTGCTATGAAACTATGAAAAATGCTTCAGTACTGATGAAACTTGGCACAAATGTTGACTGGACCATAGCCTCTGTAACAGCATGTTCAATCGTAAATTTTCTGTTACCATGGCAATAGGGGGACATCTCAAAATTGCGAAAAATCACTATTTTGCATTGTTTTTTTCCATCAAAACTGATTTCAAAGTGCTGCAACTTCTCAATGAATCCAGATAGAGTAAAAGGCTTTTCAGCGTCGGTTACTAGTTATCCTAAGATTGACCTGGAGATGAGGGGGACTACCGCCCCCCCCTTCAAACCCACCAAACAGAAGGGGGCACATCCCCCTTCTGGCAACCCCCTGATGTACCATTTTGATGGGGGGGCCGCGCTGAAAAAGTGGTCACTTTTCTAACAACATTTCTCAAATGAAAAACAGTGTTTGGGGTCTAAACAGGGCATTTTTTCACTGTTTGAGGCCTCAAAAAAAGGGGGGGGGGCAAAAAGCTGTCAAAACACGTCTATATAAGGGAAAAGGTTAAAAGGAATTCAAATAAAAACAATTAAAGATTATATAGAATTCTATACCTACATGTATCAATGAAATTTTTAGTGTCAGTTCTAGTTGGGCACCACCATTTTCAATGT